ACATCTAGAGAGGACCATATCCTGGCATGGTTACAACAGCCGTTCTTGGTATGGTTAGCTGTGTCCCTGAAGGGTTTGCTTGCTGTGTGATTGCTCACCAAATGCAGGAAGAGAGGATGTGAATTTAGGAATGTTTTGACTTAATTAAGAAGTGAAGTAATATTATACATCTAGGTTACTTGAGTCTACCCACAAGATGAATGAAATAGTTGATATATTTAGTGCAAGGATGGCATGAGTTCAATGGGTTACGAAGTGTTTTTTTGTGAGTAGAATGATGGAGGGTGATGGAGGATTTGTTTATGGTGCCATCTAAAGCTGAAACAATTGACTGAGATTAATCGGGATGAATCAATTATTGAAATAATCATCAACTAATTTAGCAAGCGATTAATCGTTAACTGGAGTATAGACTCTAATACTTGCCTTTAGCTGACAGATACCCAGAGCAGTAATTATACTAAAATTGTAAATAAAATATGAAAAACATTTTGTATTTAAGATTAAAAAACAAACCTTTTTTACCTGTTAATATGTTCTATCCAGAACTCAAGTGGAAAAGTTTTATTTTTACTTTGTTTAATTTTGTAAAAAGTACCTTTTGCTATCCAAACAATCGACAGATTAATCGATTTGCAAAATAATCGTTAGTTGCAGCCCTAGTTTTAAAAGATTGTCGAGACTGACTTAAAAAAATCTTCTCGATCCGCACAATTGTGCTACTAAATGACATAATTTGCCCGGAAGTAAAAATCTCTGTAGAAGCTGTCATTGTTCTTGATCAGCGGAGCGAGCCAGCAGGGTAAATGCACCCTGCTGTGGTGGGGTTCTGTTTCCCTGTCGACTCTTATTGTGGGTTGTAGTGGAAATTGTTCATTTTAAGCTGCAATTTAATCTCTCGTCTGATCAGTGGGTACATTTAATGTTAGTATCTTTATTTGATAAATCTATAAAATTGCTGCTAATTTTGCAGCCTCAATATAATGCTATAATCTAGTGTTGCACCGATACTGATCCATCGAGTACCGACAAATAGGCACTGATACCATTTTGAGAGCCAAAAGTTTATTCAACTCTTTTCACCCATTCCGGGTATTAAAAAAAAAATTCTGCTGGATTCACTTTGTATTAGTCTTTGTCGCTCTTCACAAAGGTAGGCAGCAGCTTGACAAATATGAAAGCAAATCATTACCATATTTTAAATGAAAAAGCATTTTCAGAAATGCTTTTTCATTTTAAGAATGTGGCTGCATTGTTTGACTCATAAATGAAATTAGTAATCAATCATCCTATTTGCATTTTCATTTTCTTCTTTAACACAGCTCATCCTTTTACTTAATTAAAATAAAAAAGAAAATGACATTTGAGATTTATTTTTCAAATTGTACCCCAGCAAATACATACCAAAATTCAATTTGAAATGTAAAATTTGAAAATGAAGAAGCATTTTCAGAAATGCTTTTTCATTTTAAGAAGCTGGCTGCATTACATGACTCATAAATAAAATTAGTAATCAATCAGCCATTTGCATTTTAATTTTCTTCTTCAAGACTGCTCATCCTTTTACTTAATTAAAATGAAAAAGAAAAATATATTTGAGATTTATTTTAAAAAATGTAATCTGATCTCTCAGTCTTCACAAAAGCATAGATTCTGAGTTTCTGGGCAGTTACACGCAAACTTAAGAATCACAAAATCAGATGTCTATTCTGTTTCTGTCAACCTACTAAGTAGCAAATATTGAAGATCATACTAGACATACATGGGGTGCTCCTATTAACACAAAGATGTTAACAATACTTCTCACAGGAAGCAAGGCTTATCTGCAACAGTCAATTTGCTGTGAGAGCACTGCTACATTTCCTTTGCACACTGCAGTGCAGACGTGATAACTAGCCTCGTGTGTTTTCTGCCCAGACAAAAACCCTTCAGCATCTCCAGCAGCGTTTTTCACTGTTGGTCCACTTTGACTCTACTAGAGTAAGAATAATTGACATTCATAATTCAATTATGGGTGTTTAAAAAGAAAAAAACAATATGTGCACAACTAGTAAACTCAATAGGACTAGTATATGAAATATGTGATGGGTGTAGTTAAATCTTAAGGGGGTTGTATTCTTGTGGCCTACTCTGACTCTGATTAATGTCGTTAAAACTAAAAGCATGAATAAAAAGCAGATGGCTGTAAAAAGCTGCTGCAGACTTGTGAACCGCTTTTATTTCCGCCTGCCTGCCTGCCTGCCTGCCATAGAGGTAAAGACCTTAAACTTTCTTAAAGGGTAATTAAGTTCTTGAATCATTGGCGCACACATGTAACTATCACCCACCGAGCCATTATGGGCCATCTTATTAGAATCTTTGCAATTAAGACGTGAAAGACGGTGAAACAACTTGGGAGGTCAAAAAAAACAAAAAAACAACTTACAGTACTACCCCCACCCCCCAACTGATCTTTATATTTGGTGCAGTACAGTCAGACAAGTACTTTTCTCCTGGCTACTGTCAAACTGGTCCATCAGATCGCCAGATGGCAAAACATGATTCATCACTCCAGTCCGATGGTGACCTGTTTTACAACACCACATCTGACACTTTGCTTTGCATTTGGTGACATATGGTTCAGATGCAGCTGCTTGGCAATAGACATCCATTCCACGAAGCTCACTACAAACTGTTTTTGAGCTGACCTACAGGTCACATGGCGTAAGGAGGACTGTAGAAAGTGACTATTAAACGTTGGCAACCCCTGCGCACTGGGGGGCTAATCTATGAAGAATTCAAATAAAGAGCACCTGTGCAGTAAGTGGGCATGTTGCACAGGATCTAGAATGATTGTGAAGGATAATACTTGCAAACTGGTTCTATCCGCCCCATTTTAATAAGCAAATTGCTTTCAGCTATTGGCACTGTGGGTGGCTTTAAGCTTTGAGCCACAGAGTTAATGATTATTTAAAAAAAATATATAAAAAAATTATTCATATTAGCCCATTTATAGTCCACTTACATAAGTAAGGCTGAAATTTAATTGGATTAATGGTGATTAATCAATTATTGAAATAATCTTCAGCTAATTAAGTAATCGATTCATCGTTCACTTTACTTCAGAGAATAAAACATTCATTTAGCTGAAATAGCAGCTAAAGGATAAAAATAGGTATCATACCAAAATATGAAAACATATCCAAACATTTTGTATTCAAGAGAAAAATTTGTTTTAGTCCATTCTTATGCTCTATCAAGAAGTTCTCAAGCTTCGCTTGGTTTAACTTCTATGTAAAATCTGCTTTAAGTAGCGTTATGGAACCTCACACCAATTCAAATCAATTCGCGCCTGCTTTGAAAATCATTTCTGCCCATGCTAACAAGTTTGCATTTAACACTTACCTGATGAAGTTGAAGCCCTGCTGCCCAGGCTCCATCAGTTTAGATGGCCTACCTCTTCCCAGATTTCTCCCTGTTCCCGATCACTTCCATTTTTTTTATAATTCCACTGACAGCTGACAGTGGAAAATGTCGGATTGAGGAAGAATCTAATCAAAGTACCACAGAGGAATTGACAGATTTTCTGAGAATGACCCATTCTTTAATAAACATTCATAAAAAACATTGCTGCATGGCAAGGTGCTTGATTTATACACCAGGACCGGATTTGTAATAACTTGGATGCTTGAGAAAATACTTTGAGAATATAGTCTAAACTTGATATCGGCGGATTTGGGGGATTTTTTTTTTGCTTTTGTTGGGAATGAATACAGAGCTATTTACATATATATTTTATAGGTAAATTTATGATGCTTACCATATAGGTGATATTGTTGTTTATCAATATCAGCCAAGATATTGGTTCATATCGAATTATGAGATGGTTTCTTTGTATCTTGGTGTATCTAATTTTTTCCTGAGTGCTATTTCAGGAAAAAAAAAAACTTAATTTCTTTAAATGGAGTTGTTTGTAGTAGTTTGAGATGTTCTTAATATTGCAATTCTTATTATCATTATTAATGTGATTTAATGCAATACAGAATAACACCTTTTAGAAGTTGTCCTATTCCATATACAGCCTACATATGTTTTAAGTTTTTTTTTTTCTGTTTGGTAATCTAGCAACATTTCAAATCAAAAAGGCAAAGTTTTCATAAAGTGTTAAAGCGATTCTACAGCTAAATTTAGCATTTATTACATGCAGTTGGCTCAGATCGAATGAATATATGAATAGCATAAAGTATGTGTCCCAGCATTAAAAAATAATAAAAAGAATGAAGCAATTATAATGACTGTATTAAAAATGTAAAGGCTGAATATGTGAATAATGGCTCTTGGGTAGAAATTTCTCCAACCTTTGAAGTGAAAATAGAAAGTAAAAAATATTGCTTGACTGTGAAACGGTCAAAGGAAAATTGATTTGTTCTGCATGTTAATTCATGCAGGAGCAGTGTAAATCCATCAAACTTGAGTTTAAAAGTTTCCCGAAAATTTGCTCTGTTCTGAAACGTTTCTAACTGAAGAGTGCATTCAGTAGCTTTAAAAAGCCTACAGTGACTTTGTGTCTGCTGTCGGCTCATCTGAACCTCCTGGGTATTGTCTTGTCTAAAGTACAACATGCAAATGCTTCCCAATGAGTCCTTTTAGAAGGCCTCTGATCTATTTATGATAATCTAGATGAACCGTATTGTACTTAAATCCTCTTTAGGATTATTGCCATTATTAAAGAGATGAATTATTTTTTATAACCAAGAAGCTTTTGATGGGCACAGACCAGCAGTCAGCTATGGCTGGAAGCATTAGCTTGAATGTAGTTGACCAGTGACGTGCAAACACTTGTGCTATAAAGACGTTAAAGTTTCAGATGCCAGATTTTAGCACAACAACATAGAAGAATCCAATGTTTTTTTTTTTACTAAATCATTTTTTTGATGGGCACTTCTTGTATTCTTAAACACAAGCTAACAAAAAAGGAGGAACATAACTGTTTGCATTTGTTTTTTGTGCATTTTTTGCAGAATGCCAAGCCCTTCCCCTCCTCAGACAGCCTAGCGAAGGTCCAGGAGGTAGCAAGCTGGCTTTTGGAAATGAACCAGGATCTGCTGTCGGGGGGCAGCAGCAGCAGGCACAGTCGAGGGCTAGGGGGTCAGACCGCGCGAGGTAACGCCTCCTCTACGACCCGGGCACCACAGCAGGCAGCAGAAGACGGCGATGAGGATGAGCACATCAACCGGGTGGTCGAGGAAGCCGAGCTGCAGCAGAGGGTGAGGCTCCAGAATCAGTAGACCCATCTGTGCAACGGAAAGTATAAAAAACAGATTTTTCTCATTGGATTATTGCCCGTGTTCTTGTTTTTCTCTGGCTCTCCACAGCCAGAGGCATCTCAGGCTGATGGCGATCGAGAGCAACCGTGGGCACCTGGTGAGTCGGGAGCAAGCAACGGCCCTCTGGGAGAGGAAGAGGGGGAGGAAGGCCAAAGATGCCCACTAAGTGAAGTTACTAGGGAAGGGAAAGGAGCCCGGTGGCAGTGGGGGACAGAGCAAAGGCAACTTCGAGGCCAGCCACCCCTCGACGAGGAGGAGGAAGAGGAGGAGGAGGAGGAGAACAACAACAGCAGCAGCCACCAAGAAGAGGAGGAAACGGAGGCGAGGACAGAGGGAGGGGAGGAACGGGGGAGGCCGGAGGGGAGGGAGGAGGGCGAGGAGCGAGAGGAGGAGGAAGAAGAGGAGGAGGAGGAGGATGACGAGGAAATGGACCAAGATAGTGATGAATTTGAACATTCAGCAGAGAGTGGGAGGGAGGAGGAAGAGGAGGAGGGGGGAGAAGGCAAAGAAGGGTTGCCCTCACTCTCTGTCAGGAACAATGTCTCTGCCCCCAGTAATAATCAGGACTCGGGATGTGTACACCAAAGTTCTTCCAGAAAGGAGGTAAGCATCGCTGTTAAAGTCACTCTGGTTTCCATTGGTAACTAATATTCAGCGGATAGAGAGTCCCTGAGTTTGGATGCAAGAACACTGTAGCATATTGTGTTTGTGAAACTAATCCAGAACGCTGTCAGTTACCTCGTTTCAGTGTCTTTAAGAAAATGCATACAACTTCTGAGAAAGTCCAGCACCAGCTGTCCTCCAGTGGGCCTTATTTATGGTAGCAGCACCATCTAGTGGCCTGAAACATGGCCTGAAAGCGTTAGCAAAATGCTTTGCTGCATCATCTTCACATTACTTTTTTGACTCTATAGCAGTAAATAGGCTCCAGTTTAAATTACATGTAATCCGTGTAATTAATCAAATCCTACAGTTTATTCCAAGTACAGCTGCAGACTGCACCTCGGTCCTCTCCTCAAACAGTTTACTGTAGAGAAGAGTTGGTGTTTTTTGTGTTCAAAGTATAGGGGAAAAGAAATACAGAATAATATAGATCATTTACAAATAATGGTGTTAGCAAATTATTGTGGTTAATGTTTTGTCATAAATTGTGACTCATACTATTAGTTTCGAAATAAGTGTATTCATGAGGACATAGCATCTTTTGCTGACTTACTCTATCTTCCACAGATTATTTATTTAGGACTAATTCATAAATCCCATTTCAAGGCACAGCGCAAATAAAGTCAGTTCAATCATACAGCTTTAAAATTAACTGCATGCTTTGCATTTGATCCTAGTTATCAAACAAACGCCACGTTTAGCTTCTGTGAAGAGCAAAAACAGAGAATACAGAGTTTAAGGTTAAACCTTTAGCAGCATAACTACAGATATAACTCAGGATGAGCTAAGCCAGTCTATAAATTAGAAGTGAAAGTTTCGTAGTTAAAGAAAAGACAGAATGCCCTGTTCTGTCCAGGTTCTAATACACTTAAAGGTTGGTGAAATGTAATATACTAATAATGTATATAATATAATTATACCAACAGAAATCTATAATGATTTTTTAACCCTATATTTTCTGCTTATATTTTTGTTGTTTGGGGTTTTTGTCATACTCGGCTTTCCAAAAAAAAAAAAACATCAAAAGAATTTGGAATCCATTCTGTTCCAAACTGTTTCTTTAACTTGAAATGGGCAGTGTGATGTCAAAGTGATGAGGTTACCTTCTTTCTTTAAGAGTTTCAGATAGGAAAATAAGAAAAAAAAACATATGCAAGACAGCATAAATCAGAGAATCAAGTACTTTCAACTTGGTGTGAATACAGCCTTATTGGTTTATTTGGTTCTTTCATTAGTGCCACTTGATCTATTGTTTTAACAAAGTGAACAATTACCTGCAGTCTTGCTTTCACGATAATACAACTGCTGTATCACCACCCACATGTCCTTGGATTAGACATTTTTTTACAAATACGTTTTTTTACAATCGTGATGTAAGCAGGAAAGTAAGTTCTTAATTTAGTCCAGCCTTTAGGCATACCCAACTACTAATAAGGCCAATAAGCAGTGGGTAGTTAATTTAACCTGGCAGGAGGGATTCATGTAAATAAACTGCAAAACAAAACAAAAAAGGAAAAAAATAGATGCATAAAAAACCACACCAACTCTAGTACAACACTATTCTTGACTTTTCTTGAATAGGGCGGTATGAGATCCTCCGCCCCCAACTGGTACCAAATATTCTTGCTGACTCTAGAGGGACGTACACTGTAAAGACCAAGCTTAACAGAGTCACAGCACGACATGCAAAACTCACTGAACCAGTCAGAGAAGGTGAATGATGAGGCTCATTTCATGAAGTCAAAGAAATAAATTCAGACTGTTTTAAGACCATAAGCCATGCAAGCTAAAATATTTCCACATGGCTCCTGCAAATCATTGTCTCAGTGTTGTAGATACAAATGTGACTACTGAGTGTTTTCGTCTCTCTCCGTCTCCTGTTGCCTATGAGATTTTTTAGAAACAAACGGATTCTATCAGCTCTGATGGTTTGAACATGTTACTAATACGTACTTGAACTAGAAACAACTTGAATATGACTAGGATATGTATTTTCAGGAGGAGTAAGCCTTGTGGTGTCCATGATTATTAAGGCAAAAATATGTGTATATATATATATATATATATATATATATATATATATATATATATATATATATATATATATATATATATATATATATATATACACATATATCAGTTGGCAAAAATGTTTTTAGTTGCAATTACCTCTGTGGGGATAAAGTTTGCACTTTTACAGCTGGCTCGAAGTTGGATATAATTTATAAGTAATATTGGCAATAAGTTCTTTTAAGGTTTGTAATCATATAAAAATATAAGAACTACTTCTTGGTTTGTGTCCAACTTTTAAGCCACGGCTCAGCTCAGGTATCCCTGCTAATATTTTAGTGTTATTTCAATTTAGAAATTCTAGTGTGGTGGTGATATCCCGGTAGTGGACACTAGAGGGAGACATTGAACTGTTATTAAAGTCTCCTTTAAATTTTGTCATTTTGATTTTATTTGATTCATTGTTTGCTTCTAGGCTCCTATTATTGGTTTTATAATAAAATAGTGGTACAAAAACATAAAGGACAACAGATTTAAATTTTTATGGGTTCTCAGTCTTAATGGGACAAAGGCTTGTTGTGTTTGTAATGTAAGGTTAAGCATCTTCTAGAACACCATAATTGCTTAACTACATTTCCTCATAAAAGTTATGATGGAAATTGTCCACATAAATTCTGTAGCTCTATATGGAACCACGAATTTGTATCATAGAACCTGTTTCTGAGAAACTACTAGTGAATTTGTGGTGTATTGTGGGTCTAGATGTTCTTGACCTCCTTTTTTCCAGCAATTTGATTTCTTTTCTTAGATTGCAAAAGTTGTGATCACAGGACTATGGTCTTAATCTGATTTTCTTGAGTAATGGCTTACTATTTCTAGATGTCCCAATCCAATATTTATATCGGTCCAATATGCACCAAAAAAGGAAATATATCGGAATATATCTGCCAGCATCTAAAATCTTTATTATTAGCATGCTGATAGAAATACTCCACTTCTGTTTAAAGTTTGTTACCCATTGGTCAGTTGTTATCATACCTATTTTTGTAACTGTGTCTGTCTCTGAGTAATATAACTTGATCAAGGCTTTTCTCTCTGAGTGATAAAAGTACGCATGATTTTTGTCCCTATCATATCAGATCAATATTGGTGTAATTTAATATTCAAAGCTATAATTTTGGTATTGTTTTGGAAATGAAAATGTTTTGTTGTGAAAATTATCTCCATTTCTGCTGCAGAATCTGTTTCTATTGAAGAAGTTAGTTAATCAACAAAGCCATTATCCTGCATACATATGACAACAGTAGTAGCAAGTCTTTGAATTACCGTAGTTTTTTTATTCTGTCAAATGTAACGGAGCTAAACATTCCCACCTGCTCCTCAGAAACAACCAAAACAAATGCTGAGTTTTGTTTTCATTTAGGACACGATGCCAGCACCCTCTTCAGAACAGAAAGCTGTAAACACAGTGGGAGCTCATTGAAACCTAGCATACTTCCATCTAGGAATGTCTTCCTAGCTTCTTTTCTCATCCTTATTCCACGACGAAGCAAACAGAAAACAAATATAAATGCATCCTTTTTTTTTTTTTAGTTCTTTTAATAACTGATTTCAAACTTAAATGTGAAGGAAATTGTTAAAGAAACTTTCATAATTACACATACAGACAAGTGTTGCTCTAAGGTTTACTTCTTATCCAATAAGAATTAAACAACTGTGTAAAGTAAAATTCCTGCACATTGATCCAGAGTAGTATTACGATACATGCATCTGGACTTAAAAACTGGTTAAAAAGCATTCAAATGCTTCATGTTGACACTAAGGAATAAACAAAAGCAACAGAACCACGAGTCTTCACCTCAACCATGTGGTCCAAGGCATCCTCACTATAGTCCTAAATCATCTGCAGGGTGAGAGTTGGACAGGGGTTGAAAAACAAGGAAAATCCATTGTTTTCTTGCCTAAAATGCACTTGGCTAAATTGATGTACAAGTGTCAGTAGATGCTATCTACTTGGTTAAATGTAGCTCTTTGAACAGCTGCCTGAGCTCTAAGGGCACCCTTCCTATTATTTGTTTATTACATGCATTCTGCAACTTTTACATTTGCTTAATGGACTTTTAAATTATTATTTTTTGCCTCTTTCTCTTTTTAACTCTCAGCCTTAATCTGTTTTGTTTCCTTGAACATGACACTGATTTTTATTAAAAATATTTAACATGATATATTTTGTAATCATAAGTTAGCTAAAAATATTAATACACTCTGGTCGCAATAGTGGATGTGTGAATATAAGGCTAAAGTCCGTAGTTACCAGTAAACCTGAAAATGTTTGCTGGAACATAACATTTCCATTTTTTTCCCATTCAATCCATTTTTAATTGCATTTAAATTAGAGCTGGGCAGGCAATTGCATTTGCAATATAATCACAATTTAACAAAATACAAATTTTTTTTAATCGCAGATTTTATAATTTTTAATCATATTATATTCAACAAAAGTAAGGCACTAAATTTCTCCCCTCAGCCCTTTAGATGGTGGTAAAATGCTTTAAGTTGCAGCTATTAGCAGATCCCTACATGCAAGTAGAAGTAAACACTTTGTCACACAATGGTTAAAGTAAACCTCATTAATAATGGATTCTGGGAAAGCAAGCTTAAAAAAACTGAAAGCCTGGGGTGAAACATCTATAAGCTTGGGGTTACTGTAAAAGAATAACGGAAATATTGCAATTTTGGTAAAATTTTTTAGGAAAAGCCTTTCAGCCTTAATCTAAATTTATCTCCAACTATTCTTTCTTGTCAAATTTAGACTAAAGTTTGACAGTTCCAGCATACTGGGCCTAAATCACAAACTCCCTGCTGCCTTTTCCCTATAAAAGTTTTTCATTTTTATTTTTCTAGTTTGTTTACTAAAGCTAAATTGAGTG